ACTTCCAAATATATCTGAGTGTATGTATTACAACAGCGAATGGCCAAACCGCTGTTTTTACTTCGGTTTTCGGTTCTATATAAATTTCTTGGTCAGAAATCATTAGATTTCTCTCACTCCAAAAATATTATAAAATGAAAGCATCTTGTTAGTGAATAACTATTTTGATGTTGGTATGTTGAGATCTTTTCTCTTCTGATGATAGAAAATATATGAAATGTTCGCTCTATTCCTCTATTAAATTTGAATGAATCTAACATAATTAAATAAACAAGCAACATATTAGAAATCGTCTGTTCAAGAGTATGATAGTCACTGTAGTGACTAAAGAAACAATGCAGATAAAAAGGCTTTTCTGAAAAAACTTATCGCTCCATTTCGCTTGCTAGAGATGTCTTGATTGGGTATTAGGATAATTCTGTCTAACAACAGTCTCGATGCATTTTCATTGCCTTGAATGTGACTAGATGATTTATCCATGTCTGATGGGCGACTAGATGTCTTGGCCATAGCTAGTGTATTGTGCGTTTTTGATGTATTAGTGATGTCTATCAAATGTACCTAAGCTATTTTTTTCAAAAAAAGCAGCGATTTAGGAATGTTTTTTTGAAGATATTAAGGCGACTGACAGTAAAAAGATGAGAAAATGCATCTAATGTGCCTTCAAGACGCACTGCGGACGTATTTTGAAGCCAGCCGAGTGGTTTATTAGACACTTTTTTTGGCAGTGTACACGTATCTATGACGCCTAGGTCTCTTTATCGTGAGATGTGTGCCTGAATGAATTATTTTTGTTTTTGAAAAAAGTATCGTTTAAACGCGTCTACAGTTCAAGTTTTTGATTGAAGCTTGAAAACATGCCTGGACTAGTTTATTATCTCGAAACTCGTTTGATCGAGATCTAGAAACTAGCTTTTATTTAATCTAGATAAAGAGCTTACGTCTCCCTGGGCTTTCACCACGGACATATTACTGACAACAAATAGCGACATCTGTCTTAGGCGTCGCGGGCACTCATGATTAATTATCTATAAAAAATTCAGATGAATCTCTATAAACAGCTTCTAGCTTTCACCGATACAAAACGGCTTATTAAAATACAGCATCCAGTTGCATTGAAGGGCAAACAAGTTTCATATGGTTCCTAGTGGACGCATTAAAACATTAGTTGTTAGAGAGTACCTGGGACAGAAGTAAGAAATTATTCATTTCTGTAATCCTAAGTCATTTTGGCATGCATCTTTTAGTGTTTATATCAGTACTCAAGTCAAATTTTTGAGTTGTGGAGTACTAACGTTTTAGTACTACCACTAAAGATATTTGTTCTTTCTTAGGCGCGTTCATGTAACATAAATAAACGTTGTTATCTAGCAGAATATTAAATCATCTGATGATAATCCTTGGAGAACTTTCATATCTATCCAGTGGAAGAAACTAACTAAGATTTGTACATTTGATTTGATATTCAACACTCAAGACAATATGATTTTGTAGGCTGATATATGCCTGTTTTTATTACTAATAATGAAATAAAATTCTGTTCGATCATTCACTGGTATTGTTCTGTTGTTCTTAATTCATTCGATATATCGCATGAAATAATCAAATTTGATCATTGAAACGGAAAATGATTTTTTTTGGATGATACACTCTCAATGTGACCGTGTTTTATTTTTTTGCAGAATGCATCACAAACGCGCATCATTGCACTTATAGATTTGTTTGTTCAATAAAACTAGGAGAAAAAAGGTTTTCTCATATAAAAATATACAATAAAATCAAATTATTTTTCAATTCATCATGTACAGATCACACCGTCATCAAACGTTTTATCCATTCCTACATTGAAACGGCTATACCTTCGACAACTAAAATATTGGCTTCCATAGGTAATACTAGGATAATTATTATTTCTTATTTACTGATGTTTACTGTGAAGGCATAAAAAAAATCGATTTCATTTTGCAAGGTTTACAGTCGTTTTATGTTGTTTCATGAGAAATTGTAAATTAGAGGAAGAAAATATTTATCTTTTATATTGGTAATAGAATAGAACTATGTGTTACAAAAAGAAAAAAAGAAAAGTCTGAACGAATCGAATGTATTTAGTCAAAAATATGGTATATCCAATGAAAATACTCTTCACCTTATCATCGATCTAATAATAACTAGGTAAACATTACCTGTATTTGACTTTCTCTATGTTTATGTATGCTTAAAGCAAACATTCGAAAAAGAAAAAACATTATTGATAAAAATGAGTCGCTCATAGAAAAAAATGGTCTCTTGTTGGTTTTTCCTATTGTCAGTATTACACCTTCAGATCTGATCCACGAGATATTGAAATATGATAAGAAACTTTTTTTTTCTACAGCAGAGGGACACAGGTTAAGAATCAACTCTCAACGCTATTTTTACAATGAACTTGTGACTAATTAATAAAATCGTAAAAACTCAAATTTGACAAAAGTCTCAACAATTCTCAATGGTTATGCAGTGTTACAGTGTCAGGAGGAAGAACTTATTTTTATCATCTTTCTTTGTCTACTTTGTTAAAACGGTCATCAAATTTTCGTCGTTTTCCACACATAGCCGTAAAAATGGTGATTAATTAATCAATGTTTTTTAAATTTAAATTTTATTCTAAAACTAATTTTACGCTTTCATATCTCATACGAGACATGTACGCTTCATTATGATACATGCGATAGTTTTTTTTTTGAATATGTATCAACATTATATGTAAATTTCTTTTCAATTTAATCTAAGTATGACACTTGACTTTTTCATCTATGAATGATTTCAATATGATTTTCTTACTGGTGATGAAGGTGAACATGTCATACGTTAAATTATTGTCATCATCATCGAATATATAGAAAGTATTGAAATGCAGATTATGATTGACAGATTCACAATAAATTTTATCGGATTTTTTTTTCTGACAATATGAATTTAACATAGCAAAACTGTAAAATCATGAATTGACTTAGAATGAGGATGATATTGGTACCAGTTTGAACATATCAGACAACTAATTTCTAAATCTAAATAATTCATACTAGATACCATCGTTCAAACAAAAGTGTGACAAAAGTCATTTCAACATTCCAACTAAACATGCCATGCTCTTCTACTTTAAACGGTACTTTGTAACCTATTTATCTCATTTTGTTCAACAGGTCAACATTATTTTTTTTTATCATTTTCTTTGTTTGTACATGCTGTTAACAAAAAAAAAAAAAGAAGAGATGATCATAAGAGTCTTTCTCTATAAACCAAATAGATAAGAGGTTATTGCTTTTTCTTATCTGTTAAAAGGTATGTAGACGATGGTATAATATTGAATATTCATTCATCAACAAATAAACAGACGTATCTCTATCTTTCTCTATATATGACTCTTTTATTTATGACTAACACCGCGGATATGCTATCTATATTTGATTATTAATAAAGGTAAAAAGTGTGCAGTTTTCACTACATGTATAAGATCGTACACTAGTGCCCTTTTTGATTACAGTTATGCTAGAGCATGATTAATTTAGTGTATAATTAGTCTAACTATTTGATTAAACCGAAAAAAGCTAACAGTAGTAAACGAGGCAGTACTAGAAATAAAGACCAAATATCTACTTAAAAAAAAGGCTTTTTTGGTATATATTTCTCTCATATCTACGGAAGATTTTCCAATGAATATTTTTAACTTTAAATAGATCATCCTTGATTGACCTATTTATATTTTTTTCGGATGAAAATGTACAAAAAAAAACAGAGCTCAGAAAAAAGCAATTTATCATTAAAAGATAAAAAAGAAAACAAGAAAAACCTAGCAGTACATACATATTCTTTGAGAATAACGAATATACTCGCGTTTTTATGGCCATGCACCTGACCAAGTACCGCAGCCATAATTTGTTGATCCAAAGTTCGGAAAATGCGATGGTGGATATTGATGATTACCTATCGATGACATATAAGCACTGTAAGCAGTATTATAGGTAAAATCAAAACCGGCTGAATTTAAAGAATTAATATTTGGTAATGTGTCTGTTCGTGAATGAGGACTATAGGCTGTTGATGATGGCGAAGAAGGCATGCCACAACCATAAAGTGAGCTACCTGAACATATTTTTCCATCTTGAACAAGCAATGGAACAGGCACTCGACGTGGTGGTCCATTTGAATTTTGAGTCGAATCAAACATATCTTGATATGTTTTTGAATTATGATTATCTTGTTGTTTTGTTCGTTTTAGTTTATATCGATGATTTTGAAACCATATTTTAACTTGATTCGCTGATAAATTAATATGTTTTGCTAATATATCTCTTTCGGGTGCAGATAAATAACGTTGTTCACGAAAACGATGTTCTAATGAAGCTATTTGTTGTTTCGAAAATAATATACGTCGTTTACGTTTTTTATTAGTGCCGGTAGTAGTGTCTGCGTTTGTTGTTTTATCATTATTCGTGTTTGAACATGATGATGACGAACTATTGTTATTTGTAGAATTTTCCACATGTCCATCTTTTATTAGAGTACTTGTCACCATTTCACCACTTGTACCCGCCATATAGACACTTTCACTCGTATCTTGATCATCATCCTCATCTTTTGAATCTTCGCTGTTCCATTCACGACTCTGTGTTAATAAGTGCTCGGAATTTTTCTTTGAACTAAAAAATAAAATTAGTCATAAGTAAAAAATCTTAAACATAGTCAAGACACATACTTATGAGGTATATTTTTGGATGATGAATACGGGTTTACAGCCATTGTGTTGTAGGATTTTGATGGAATATGATGAGAATGAGGAATGGATGTTGCTGATCCACCAGGTTGATGAGTTTGATGGAAGAAATGATGTTGTTGTATGTGATGATTCGTATTATTTGGTATATACGGTTCTAATTTGGATTTTTCTGAGTTGACGGCTGCTGCTGCCGCTGCTGCTGCTAATGCCGAATAGGACTGCTTCATATGCAATGACGTATTTGGATCATAGGGATAAAATGGCAAACTGTTCACATCTAGAATAGTTTTAAGTTTAGTACTGATAAATATTTTCAATATCGAAAGTAAAAAGTGCTTAATAAATTAATCAATATTCCAAAAATATAGATCATGCTCGCTCTAAATCTGCAAAGTCTTACTTTCTTTTGTGCTATAAATATCTTGTGCAATGGTTTACTCGATTTACTTTAAGTGTTTGATCCGAACTATTCCAACAGGAGAATCTCATAATAAGAAGAATCATAGTTAAGAAGGATCGGACAGATAAAATTGATTCTATAAATCAACATTTAGTTTGCTATTAAAATGTGTGATGTCATGACTCTAAAGCAAAACTGTCTCTTGGTCTTCTTTTCAAGATAATAATAGATCCTATTCTTTTCAGCAATTGATTTATCACGAATTTCTCAAAAAGTTTAGTCTTTTTAATGTTTAAAATATATTAGTAGAATTATATTTTGTCTCAAAATATGCAGGGGCGTTTATAAATTAAATATTTTCAAATGATGTACGAGAATTGTGATAATCTCAAGTGGTTCATTTTTCTCTCATTCATGAAACGATATATTGTCGCGGTTTTCAAAAAGAAGAAACAAAGAAGTCAAATAACTTAATTTTTTTTTTGGTCACTTTATTAAAAGCATGACTCTGCATAAATATTTTTATTCAAACAATATTTTTTTAATTGAAAATCGCTTATGAAAATGCTTTTGTTTTCCAATCGTTTTTCCGGTTTCCTCTGTATATTTCTATGGGGAAATAATTTTCTTGTGAAAAAAAAAAGAAGGTATGCATAAGAGAATGATAGAGATGTCTGTAATTTTTTGTTAAATTGTCGGCAAAAGATAAACGGACTACTGATTTCCGTTTTCACTAAGTCTACAATATATTGATGTAGAACCAATGTAGAGTAGAAAAGAATTTAATTAACTAAACAATAGAGCCAGATTAAAATTGAGATATTCGTACAATTTTAAAATAAAGTATCAGTTCTATCACATTTATTAATAAACGTATGTGATTCCTATGGAAATTTTATCAAAAAAAAAAAAATTCACTACGCACCTAAACAATTATTTTCATTTCTCCAACTGGATGAACCACCGTAGCCAAGTATTTGTGGATAAGATGAGTGAACATTTGTTAATTCACTTTTTGATGAATTCATATTGATACCAGTGTCTAACTAAAACGTAAAAAACAAACAATTTATAATATGTATTGATTTCGAAGAGAAGATCTTTCGATATTTCAGCATACCAATGCAGAACGTCGAAATAAAGTAATCTAGTATTGATTACAAAACAGTGAAAATAGATTTAAATTTGACGGATCGATAATGGAGTCTATCCTGCTGAGTGTCATAACGTTCTGTACGCATGATGATATATAACAAAAATTTCATAAATAACTTTGATGAATTGCTGAGTAACTTTTTTTAAGACTTAAAATTCGTTTTCTCAAAAACGAAATGAAGACGATGGTCTGCTGACATACACATATAGACAAAACAACATATGTTTTCTGGTTGACTATAGATGGTGTAGGAGTAGTACTCTCGGTTTTTCAAGGATGGGTACTCGAAAAGTTTGAAGTGAGTGCACATAAGTATCAAACAAAACAACAAGAAAAAAATGAGAAAAATGTGAGAGAGGAGACGCACACAAAAAAAATGAATGTTACATACGCTGTTATACTTAGAATATTCCACTTTTAATGTGGCTCTCAAGAGCTCGCCAAGTTCTTCTCTTTTTTTTTTCTCTTTTTATTCTTTATTTTATTCGTAAAAAATATTATGGTAGTTATATATATTTCATAATTTAGCAATAGATAGTACTATGATGGGATGAAAAGTATTTTAATGTAAGTGACTACGTTTATATTCGTTGTTGTTTCAATTTTTTTTCTCTCTTCTTCAAAGAATTTGACAAAAATTAAGGTAAATAGTAGTGTGCAGCCAACTATTTTTATATGCCGGATAAAAAGATCGTAACAAAGGCAATGCCTTTTTTTTTTGTTCTGTGTTGGTTTTTTCTCTGTTTTTATGAAGTAATCTAAAAACAGGTGAAAACAACAACACAGTATAACTACAATACTTGAAATGTCTTCAACAATTTCATCTTCCTATTCAAATATCAAATAATATAGAATAAAAAGAAGAATGTTTAAATGTTTGGGCAGTCCATGTGAATGAATATTCTCGATTTGTGAAAACAACAAAAAATAATCTACTTTTCTTCACGCGGTGAGTAAAAACAAAATTTTTTTTCTTTCGTGATGAATAAATGGTATCTGCTATCGTTTCACGTTTGATAGAATTCATAATTTTTGCTTTTCTTCTCTTTGAAATTGAATTTCTTTTTCAATTCTTTTTTTTTTTACATTACGTGTAACAACCAAACAAATCTCCAAGCGAAGAGAGAAAAACAGTAAAAGGAAGAAAAAAGACGATTGGTCGCGTTTGAATTTCACTCGTATATATATCTATAGACTGTATCATGAATCGGTTTGATGACATTGACCAATAGAATAAATGAAAACATTCGATTATCCTTACATGGTAAATAAGTTCAGCAAAGAGAAATTGTTGATATTATGCAATGCAGAAAGGACAAGACATGAATATCTCAAAAAAATTACTTTTTTTTATAGTGACAATGAATGACAGCAAAGGTTTTGAGTGGGTAAGGTGTTCTAATTTTGCGAACATTGATTTGGTAAACATAAAATATATCTTACCCAAATTGATTTGAACTATTCGTTAATCTCCCCTACGTATCATTCAGCTTTTTAGTCGAGTAGTACTCAGTCTACTTTCACAAATCAATCTAGGTCAATGTGCTGGGTACGATGACTAGAGTCATATTTTTCCTTCAAAATAACATTGCAATTTATATTACGGTTTACGTTCCATTACAAAAAGTATTAAAAATTTTATATTCCACTAATTGATTCGCCGTCCTGTGAAGGATAGTACACCATCATATTATCATTTAGAACGGTATTTTAAGCGCAAGACATAATAGGATAAGCCAGATAAAAGATCAGCAAGATCAGCAATCCCGTTCTCCACATTTATAAAGCATAAAAAGTAGTTATACATTCATTTCATTGACGTAAAGTCATCGCAAAGTCGCAAATCATCATCGAGAATTGAATATCCAGCAAACAGGATGATGGTTCTTCAAGAATAATTATTCTTTTCAAGATTTTTCAATTGTTTTAATTATTAGTGTCGTTCTCAATTCGTTAAATTTTAGTAATTTATTACTGATACGAATTGGAATCAATTAAGAGAATTTCTTAAACTTTTGATTCCTAGTTCAGCCAACATTTAATGTCTCAATCATCGACTACACTATTTCATTGTTTGAGACATTCCTTGGTTTTAAATAATCAAGTCACTTCAGGTATCGATAGAAGGGAAAAATTTCCTGTTGTACTAAACGCGGCTGCTTGCAATGGACACCACTAAAATGGTTGAGTGCTGTGATGAATCATTGTCCTTTTCTCGCATTCTGCGTGAGAGCAATATGCATCAGGTTCTTCCATCTAACACTACATGGGCACCTTCTCCGTCATCGCTACAGTACACTACGAAAGCAGAGGTGTATTTTCAAAAAGATTGTATCCACAGTGCCCTGTATGAAATGGCGTCCTATAGTTTATGCATCAATAATGCTTCCGGTTTACGTGCAGAATGTGCTCGATACGCAAAGTCTTACTCAGTCACCTTGAATGTGATAACATATCTAACTGATGCGTTAGAGATGATTATGTGTCTTAAAGATATCGAGCGTCTCTTGACTAACCGACATCCAATATAGGCGATTTAAAGGTATCTTTTGAGGACACAGGTGACTAGCTGATAAGAAGCGTAGAAAATGAAATCAAAACACATCTTAGATACCTTTATTATGCATAATGGATGCATTTTTTAACTTTTTAACCCGTAACACTCGATACTCGATCTAGAAATTTAAATTCTGATATAGCCATTAATAATGGAACTGAGAGACAACACAATCACACAAGATACAATTAAAAACTATCTACGTATTCTGTGGTTCTAAGCGAAGCCAGTTCCTGCTAAAATATGAGCGACAGCGGGTACATTTTGCAATAACACAATGGTGCAATAAACTAGTAGTTCAAACACGACTAAGATATTATATACAGTTCTATACATCGGCAGATGATGGTTTGTGGACGACTATTTATTTAAGCTGCTTTCTCTTTCGCAATGTTTTCTGTTATATTGGGCGAAATAACACGGATGAGAAAAAAATTATCTTTAATTTTCCTCTGAATCGAGATTTTGGTACAATACAAACAAACATATTTTGTACTAACTTGATCCTAGGAAAGATCACCCTGAAATGGTAAACTTTTATATCTTAGGTTTTTCATAAAATTTGGAATGAAAAAAGCTTTTAGTTGAAAAAATTGGTTTTACTAAGAATTTGTTGGAAGACAAACTTATCTCCATTTTTCCGTTCAACTGATCTGGACTGTGAAAATAATCAATTCGTAAGCCGATGGATTTTACTTTACAATAAGAAACTTATGATTTGGTAAGAAAAATATTCTTAAATGAAGGTTAAATTCAAGATATTCTCTTCTACAGAACAATCAAGAGGGTGGCTATATTCTAAGTGTGCTCATAATATACAGCATATAGCTAAGGTTATTATTTAATCGCTACGCATTTCTCTCACTTATCCTTGAGATGCTTTCTATCTCTTGAATGTATTCATAAGGATAAACGTTTTCTTACACAAAAATGAATACATACTTACATGTTAATCAAGCTATGAATGACCTCTGCGATGAAACTGTAATCATGTTACTGACGTTATCCTCAACAAAACTCTTGAATTATGATCACTTAAGTAAGATATATGTAGAAAATTATTTTCAAGAACACAATATTCAAAGATACTTTTGTTTCCATTTTGATTTTTAATATAAAGCAATTTGTGTTCAATAGCCGACACTAGAAACAAAATGTAACGACAAAGAAGAAAAATAATAATGATCGGTAATATAAAAAACAAACAAAACGACCGCAACAGCAATTTTATAACCTATGCAACAAAAAAAAGTGCTGCTATGCACTAGGTACTGTTAAATATTTTGCAACTTCTTTTTCTTTCAAAAAAAAATTCTTCTTCTATAACAGAGAGCGATAGAAAGAGAAAACAACAAGAATAGTGCGAGTATTGTGCCACTTAATGATTTCAACATAAGTATATAAAATACTTAACTTGAGGCTATTATTGCATTTTTTTTGTATACTTTTACATGTACTTCATTTAATTGTTTCTACTCATTTTTTCCCATGACAGCAACACTAGTGCGTATATCCGCATTTTTTATGTTTAAAGCAAAAGTCAACTAGTTCTTGTTGCTTTTTCACCGAACAAGAATGAACTCTTTCTAGTATCTCAATGCAAATGGGATCAAAGTTATCGGTAAGGAAAAAATTCCAGGTGTTATGAACGAAAGTAAAAAGATGCACTTGAATTCATTTCTTTTTTATTAATTATCAGAATACGTTCTTCAAGTAATCGAATTATTGACTTTCCAGCCTACGTTATATTCTTTCCTTGGATCATATTTTGCCTCTAGATATCTCAACAAATGTCTACTCTTTGTCGAAAACTTTTTGAAATGTTTCTAAGCATTTTAGAATCACAGCCAATATCTACAAAAAAATAGCATGTTAATTGATAGGAGCCTGACAAAGATCTCGTATGAACTGAATGGAGAAAATGTCATCTCTTAAAGATTGAATGAATGTATTACCTATTTGACAACTATGGTCCAAGGACAAGTTCAAAATATTGCTCTCTCAAGACAATGATTGACTATAGGGGCATATGGGTGGGATAATATTAAATTTTCAATGACCGATCATATGAACTGGTTGAATATGATTTTATAACATCAATTGTTCTTTTCTGTCTATTATTCACACTTTTATTTTTACCTACTTTCTTCTCTTCTCTTTTTTTTACAACAATTGTCACCCAGTTGTTGATTTTGTGCTGTTCCCTTCAAGCATCATACACACATCTCAAAGTTTTCGTTGTAGTAAAAGCACTTGAAATATTTAATTCAAAATCATTTGAGAGGTCCATATACGGCCGTAAGATACTAACAAAAAATAATTTAGTTTCTTTCTTTCATCGTTACATCTGTATCTACAAAGTCTTTGTATCCGAATGTTTGTTTTATTCAGGACAATTCAAACTATTGTGTTGTTTTCATTTAATCTAGGGAAGAAAAATATGATATAGTTTCTGCGTACAATATACTTATATGCTGAATAATCTGATAGAAAACCGTAGTAAATAACCAATAATTAACGATATTCAAGTTCTCCACGTTCAAACGAATCTAATCAGATAGCTAGCAAAAGTAGAGACGAACAGTGAAAGTTATCCAATATCATTTAGTACTCAAAAGTCATCAAGGACTAGCTTAACAAGTTTCTTCAGAAAGTTGTTTTTTAAACAAAAATTCGTTTTTGAGAGAAGTATACCAGTATGTTGTCTGAAGTGTAATTAGACCATTTTCGACCCGACAAGTGTTCTTTGAAGGTTTCTAAAATAGTTTCAGAAGTTCTATAATCAGACTTCTTGAAATTTCAAATATTAACGATGTCAGTTTCAATCAATCTTTTTGCCAAATGTGTAGGTTTGTGGAGTGGATTTTTCCTCGAAATAAGATGTAACATAATTCTGTATAATTTCGTGTTAGAAAATTAAATGTTTTATTAAAAGATCTAAAATGTATCAATGACTGCAGACTGTATCTTTCTTTCAGAAGTTGTGGCACCACAGTCTTCAGTAAGATTCACTTTTCTTATAAGAAGAACATATAATAATTTTTAATATTCATTTTCATTTGAAGCATACAACAAACGTGTTAACGGCTTGGCCAGCTAACTCCGCTACCGAAGTGCAATTCTGTCAGGTTACGGTTCTTTTGCATTTTGTTTTCTCTTATAATTTCTGACGGGAAGATGCCCAGAGCTCCAATAATTTTCGAAAAGTACGTGTTTAAATTTTTATTATATTTTCTGAATGAAAGACCGTGTAAAATGCGAAAACATCTCAAATGTGCAGCACACTTCTCTCTTTAATTTGGGATATTTTAGAATTCTGAGTGTGTTGCGTTATAAATTATAAAAGAAACAAAATGCAAAAGAACAGTGACGTGACGGAAGTACACTCCGGTAGCGGAGTTAGCTGGTCAGACCGTTTAGTTGATCGAACGGATATAGGAGATTTGATTTTATATTCTAAAAAAACTCTAAATCATTGGACTTGATCATTAATCTTTTCAGACTTTCAACTTTAACTAATTAGTCTTTTGCCGGCTTGTGCGCTTAATCAAATCTCTATTTTGTTCTGCAGTAGAGCATACATAGACAAAAAAATCATTGGAAAAAACTTGACATTTTATCTCTTTTCTACCAATTTAAATTTGAAATCCATCTTGGTAGGCATACAAATCTGCTCCTCTCCTACGGGAGCAAGGCTGCTCGAGCTGTTGGATCAAGCTGAGAGTTGTTTGTGTTCTATAAGTGCCCTTTTGGAAGAGTATTAAAGAGCGATAATCATTTTATAAGATCTAAACGACAAAAAATGATATCATCTAAGCATACTGGCTAGACTTTTAAAGAAATGGAACTTCTGACTTTTGATTTTGTTACGAATCTAAAATATTCTGTCGGAAAAGATTAGAATCGCGTATGAGATCTCAACAACTTCTCCTGAGTCTTTTACGCTGGAATCACAATGAAATTTGCTCAGGATTCAAGGAACTTCGGAATAGCAACGAAGAAAAACCTCGAGAACCATCTCGACCAAATTTTAGATTCGAAGATCCAGATTATTTTGATACAAACCCGATCATTGCATTCGTATTATACAAAGAGCCTCATTTCAATGCTTGCGTGATCTATAACTCTTTAACGATTGATTATTACAAGCTGAAATTTTCATTGTTATGTATCTAGACGATGTGCTATAGTCCTTGACATGTTCCATTCGGTTATGTATACATAACCATACTATATTATAGCAATATTTCTGAAAAATAATATGCTATCTATTCAACGCCCATAAAATCAATCAGGAAACGTTACTATGAACTTCCTCATCAACATCTATCTTTTTTTTATTGAATTCGAAATACTTGTATTAATTTGTAAACTTAGTTAGACGTTTCATAGATCAGCGACTAATATATGCCGCCATCTATACCTTTTGAGTTATAGACGATTATAAACATGTAAACTTTTTTATTGTAATACAGTAGATAGTCTAATTGTAGCAAAGAATAAAGGTACATTATGAGAGAGCTGAAAAAACCGATTTTATTTGCGCAAGACGGATTAAGCCGAAACTTTGAGAAATCAATAATAAATTGTAGTTTTATGGTTTAGGAGTTTCGTGTTTACGCATTATATGGCATAGGAGATATATTTGCGATC